GGGGGGGGACACGGGGGGCTTTTTGCAGAGAGGGGGGGTGGTCCCGGTGGTCGGTAGCCGTTACCGGTTCGGCCGGGCTTGGTCCCGCTCCCCGGCGGGTGGGTGCGGAGGGACCGCGGAGCCGGAGGGGATATTGTTACGGCAGCGGCAGCCGAGGGTGTTAATCTAGGCCGGCTGGAGTGAAAAGAGGCAAATATTTCCGTTTGTGCCCTCCTGCCTCTCTCAGCACCGGCTGTCAGTCCCCGGGCTTGTTATCCGTACACGGCATCAGTTTGTTTGGCTGAGCTCAGCAAGGTTTTCTTCTCCGAGCAGAACTATAATTGCTATAATTCTACTGTATCATTTGGATCATTGCAGTATTGTTGTTTTCTCTCTCTCGTTCTCTCCCCCTAACACTGCAATAACGCGCTCCAGTGTTAAATTAGCAGGTTGCAGGGGGAAGGGAAAGAAAAAAAAAAAAAAGAGAGGGAGAGACCATAAATGAATGAAAGTTTGTTTAAAAAAAATAAATAAAACAACAAAGTGACTTGGCAGCATCGCAAAGCATCCTCGCCTGCGAGAGGGACTCCCGCGGCTCCTCTCCCCGGCTCTGCCGGGGCAGCGGGGGGTCGTCCCCCCCCGGCCCGGGCACAGCGGGGCGAAGGAACGGGACGGAGAGGGAGCGAAAAACGAGATGCAGAAGGGCCGAAAGGCCGCGGCAGGGCTCCCTGCGCTCCGCCCGTCCCCGGTACCCGCCGGTACGGGCCGGCCGCGGCCCGGGCTCGGCCCGCCGCCATCCACCTGCGGGTCTCGGCGCTGCCGGAGCCTTCCCCGAGGGTTCCCCCCCCCCTCCCCGTTCCCCTCCGGTTTACCGCCTGCGCCCCGGTGGGCTCGGGTCTCCCTTTCCCGGGCAGCCCTGCCCGTCCCCGCTTTTCCCGGCAGCCGGCAAGGCAAGGGGAAGGCAGATGCGGACCGGTGTCCCCCCCGCCCCGCCGGAGATCCGTGCCGCTTCTCCCGGGCAAGTCCCGGCAGGGAAGCCCCGGCGGAGCCTCCCGGTACGGCCGGGACGAGAGCAAGAAGGCGGCAGCTCCTCTGCTCGCCGAGCTTCCCCACGGGTGCCCGTGGGTCTTCCTTTTTCTTCTCGGTGGGTTTTGGTTTTGTTCGGTTGGTTGTTGGCTGGTTGGGTTTTTTTTAGTTACTGAGTTCATGAATTAATGGCCACTCGCACCGGGGCTGGCAAAAGCTCCCGAGAGCTGAGCAGCGACGGCAAACGGCAGCTTTGCGTCCTGCGAAGCCCGGCCGGGCCGCGACCGCCCCGCCGGGGAGCGCAGGGTCCGCCGGCCGCGCACGTCGGGGCTCTCCCCGCCTCGCCGTGGGCACGGGCACGGCCCGCGGGGGACGAGGGGGGGAAACGAAGCGGGAGGAACGGGGGGCAGGAGCCCTGCGGGGGTCCGTTCGCAGGGAGGGGACGGCTCCGGGAGCAACGCTTGGCCTCGCACGGCACGTAGGGACACACACACCTATAGAGCCCGGGAGCGAGTGCGGGAGCTTGATTGTCTTTTCTCTTAATTCCCGCTGGTTAAGTAATTAGGAGATCCGCAGGGGAATGGCGGCAGGAAGAGGGGAAACGGGGCTGTCTCCCCTCCGGCGCCCCGGAATCACCCCGACGAGCGGAGGGCTTCTTTGGGGGGACCGAGAGCCGTTCTTCCGACGTGCCGGCGTTTGCGGCACCAGGAGCCGGTTAAAATCGAGCCCAAACCGGGGAGCCCGAACCTGCCCGGGACGTGCCCGCTGACCAGGGAAGGATTAAGGCTGGGGGGAATAAAAAAAACCAACAAAAAACAAAACAACAACAACCCTCGGAGGTCTTCCAGCCCCGAAGCGGCCTGCGGAGGGGAGACGTCCGTGCGGGGAAAGGCGGCGGCCGGCGGGGCAGGCCGGTAGCACCGGGCCGGGGCTGCCCTGCCCGGGGGATGCTCACCCCCCGGGCCCCGAAGCCTTCTCCCGCGTGTTCGTTGCGGTAAAGGCCCCACGGCGGACCCCGGTATTTTCAAACACCGGCGGCGAATGCGCGGCGGGCCACCCCCCCCCCCCC